CTTAGAGACTTACACTGTCCCTAACCCCCTCCAATCTGAAGGTATGTAATCACTTACCCGTCACGACCCCAGTGCAGCTCTTTTCTGCCCACGGCCCTGTCCCCGTGCCTTAATAAAATCACCTTTTGGCACCAAAGACACCTTCAAGAATTCTTTCTTGACCATCGGCTCTGAACCCCACCATCACCCCAAAACCCCATCAACCTGACTGGATTCATTAATTTATTCATTCAACCAATGTTTATTATGAAGAACCTGCTGGAGCGCCTGGTGGCTCCATTGGTTAAGCATCCAACCCTTGATTTCCGCTCAGGTTGTGATCTCACAGTTCACGGGCTGGAGCCACAGCATGGAGGATTCTGCCTGGAATCCTCTCTCTTCCTCTCTGCACCTCCCCTGCTTTCCACCGCTCACAAGTCATGCTCTCTCTCTCTCCCTCAAAATAAAATTAAAAAGAAAAAAAAGAGCCTGCTATGTGTTCTAGACATTATGAATGCAACAGTAAACAAACAAATTCTAGAACAGTGAGATACACACTGACCTCAATAAGATCTCAACATTCGTTAGAGGGTGTTAGAAAGTGGTGAGGGCTCTACGGAGAAAAAACGAGGAAGGGGGAGAGGGAGTGGCCGGCCAGGTGGTTGGAGTTTTAAACAAGATGACCAAGAATAGTCTCACTGAGCAAAACCATGAGTGAGGTAAGGGAACCATCTGGGTGTCTGAATGGAAAACACTGGAAGGAGAGGGAACAAGTGAGGCGTGCGCTTACCTGGTACTGCACAGAGTGATTGCAAGGAGGTCAGCAGGCTTGGGGCACCTGGGTGACTCAGTCGGTTAAGCGTCCGACTTCGGCTCAGGTCATGATCTCACGGTTCATGGGTTCAAGCCCAGCGACGGGCTGTGTGCTGACAGCTAGCTCAGAGCCTGGAGCCGGTTTCAGATTCTGTGTCTCCCTCTCTCTCTGACCCTCCCCTGCTCACGCTGTCTCTGTCTCTCAGAAATAAATGAAACATTAACGGGGGGAAAAAAAAGGAGGTCAGCAGGCTTGGAGCCTTGTGAGTGAAGGGGGACAGAGGACTAGGAGAGAAGATGGCAGATCACGTGGACCAGGAAGACCCCTGTAAGAACTTCTGTTTCTATTCCGAGTAAGCTGGAAAGACATTTGAGGATTGAACAGAGAGGTAACACGGCCTGACTTACATCAGACCTGCTGTGCAGGGGAAGAGGCAATGTTGGAAGCCAGGAGAACACTGAAGAGGCTCTTGCGGTAACTCAGACATGAGACGCAGTCCACTTGGACAAAGAAGGTAGAGGGGAAGATGAGGAAAAGAGAGATTTGGGATATACTTCAGGGGAGAGTCAACAAGATTTACTGACAGATGGTAGTGCGGGTGGGAGGGAGAGCAAAAGAGAAAGGGAAAATAGGAAACCAAGCCTCCTAAAGAAACAATAGGAGTGCTCAGTAGAATGGAAGTCCATTTTGATATGTGAGGTCATGAATTTAAAATGAAACCAGTCAGCCTGGGTGAGGGCTTTCTTCAACAACATCGAGCCACCCTAGTGCAGGTAAAGAGCAGATAATTTATTCTGAGTTTATTCAGAACTGGAGTTTTTCAAGGCCAGTTTGCCTGAGTGAGAGAGAGAAAGGGAGTTGTGTTATATCAACAGATCATGGGGTACAGTCAGGTCACGGTGGGCTGTGAAGCTCAGAGAGGAGGGCTGACACTGGCGGTGGGGGTACTTGAGCAAATAACCTGGGAGAGAAGAAGGTTTAAAATCGAGATTTCAGATGTAGTACATTTCTTGTAATGACAGGGCAGTGTGGGAGAGGGAAATCAGGTCTTTGGGGGTGAGGAGGTCAAAGGACTTGAGAGGCTGGAATGCTGAAGCCATCCAGAGTGAGGACATAGTTCTGAAGGAGAAAGTGAACGTGTGGAAATCTGAGGAGAATGGCGTGCCCAGAGAGCATGGATGCTCCTTGCCTTTTCCCCTTACCTTGCCCCAAGCATCTCTCTTATCTAAGTTATATTCTTTCATAACAAACCAGTGATCTAGTAAATAAAATGTTTTTCTGAGTTCTGTGAGCGGCTCTAGCACATTAGTCAAACCCAAGGAGGAGCCGTTGGAACCTCCTATCTACAGCCAGTGGCCAGAAGCACGGGTGACAACCTGGGCTTGCAATTGGTGTCCGAGGGGGAGAAGTCTTGTAGTCTTGAACCCTTAACCTGTGGGTTGGAAGCTATTTTCAGGTGGGGAGTGTCAGAATTGAGTCGAATTATATAGGACACCTAGCCAGTATCGGAGAATCGTTGGTTCGTGGGGGACTGCGTGCCCCTCCTCCCCAGTGTAGGAATTGGGTGCTCAGAACCTTTCAGCAGGTTTTCTCCAAACCTTTTATCCCTGGCTCCCAATGACAGGAGTCTAGTCCCTCCTGATGCTTTGTTTATATGGAGCCTGGTTAGTGGGGTGAGTGAGTTCACCCTGTGTTCTTGGTCCCTCAAAAGCACACTTTATACTAAGCACATTAAGAATGGGATGAGGGGCGCCTGGGTGGCTTAGTCAGTAAGCGTCTGACTTCGGCTCAGGTCATGATCTCATGGTTTGTGGGCTTGAGCCCCGCGTCAGGCTCTGTGCTGACAGCTCAGAGCCTGATGCCTGTTTCAGATTCTGTATCTCCCTCTGTCTTTGACCCTCCCCTGCTCACTCTGTCTCTCTCTCTCTCTCTCTCTCTTTCTCAGAAATAAATAAAACATTAAAAATTTTTTTTTAAAAAAAGAATGGGATGATAGCCCTGGGGACAAACTTTTCTCATTCTCCATTCCCCAAAATGACTGAAAACTGATGGGAAGATTCAGAATCGGTAGGATAGCCATAATACAATTGTGCCTTAAATATGCAAATATTAAAATCAATCAATAAGTGAATATTATAAGGGAAAGACTACCCAAGGCTAGTCAGAAGTTATTTAAAATTTTTTTAAATATTTTATTTATTTCTGAGAGAGAGAGAAACAGTGTGAGCAGGGGAGGGTCAGAGAGAGAGAAGGAGACACAGAATCTGAAACAGGCTCCAGGCTCTGAGCTAGCTGTCAGCACAGAGCCCGATGAGGGGCTTGAACCCACGAACCGTGAGATCATGACCTGAGCCGAAGTCAGACACCCGACCAACTGAGACACCCAGGCGCCCCTTGTGTGACTGAAAGATGATTCAGTGAGCCATCAGTCCAAGAAAAGAATCAAGCCCGAGATTCTGGGAGCTTTCTGTGATTCAGTGGGTTAAGGATGTGTTCAAAGAAGACAAAGTTACCCAGGAATGAGATAGTCAAGGTGGAAGGGCATAGCTAAGTGAAAGCACCGTGGTGAAAATAAAGACAAGCGTGGGGTGCCTTGGGGGCTCAAGTCCCGAGTCGGGTATCCCTGCTTGGGATCCTCTCTCTCCCTCTCTGTCTACCCTTCTCGTCACTCTCATTCTCTCTTTCTCTCAAAATAAACTTTAAAATAAAATAGAATGCAAAAAAAAAAATAATAAAGTTAGGCTTAACCATTCTGAGACTTTCCACAGGGAGCTGTAGATCTAGGAGATTGTAATGGCACGCAGAATTATTCCATCTTGATGTAGTGGGGTGTTTGGTGGAGGAGGAAGTGGGACACACCACGAACTCAAGGCAAACAGCTTGTCATGGTAGTGATTGCGGAGGGTAAAGGGTAGAAGACAGGTAACAAACTGACAGCAAGTCACTGGTGGTATCATCAAAAATATGCACACATGGACCCCCAGATGGAACCCTCTGCTTAGGAACCACTCCAGGAATGCAGAGAACCACTCTCCCTGGGAGTGGACTTGACATGGAGAACCCAAGTCCAAATCCCTTTACTTGAATAAGCAGACTCACTTATCTCCTATTTCCTACCACAAAGGGAAGGAGTGAGAGATGATCCCTCAAAGCCAGCCAGGCACATTTTTTTCTCCAAAGGGACTTAAGCCACTGTCCGTTTCCTTGTGAAAAAGTACATTTTCCCATAGATCATGAAGCAACTCATTGATCTCTAGGGAACTTCCTTCCTCCTGGTCTCTTCAAGCCTAATTGTAAGATATCCTTAGATCTGTGGGGTCCTCCTTAGATTCTAAAAAAAAACTGGCTACTTATAGGGATATGCAATGCAGCACTTTTATTTGACACTGTTGAGATATCGAATGAATAAGGCGACTGCCAATCTCTACTAAATGCCAGCCAAATTTACTTGAGAATAGTATGGAATTTCCCCGTGATTAAAACACAATCATGCCATCAACAACTAAACTCCTCAAAGCCATTGGCTTCTGCTCCCCCATCTGAATTCACATAGATCCCATTTCAAGGAATGGACTGGCTCTCTTGTTGCTAGAAAATAGCGCCAATCTGGGGGCCCTTATACTGAAGACGACCTTATCTCGCCTAGCCACCTTTGGGTAGCAGACAAGTGAGGCAGTTAGAGGCTCCTGGAGCAACTCAAGCTAAGCCTCCACCACACAGCCGTAGTAAACAGTTATGAACTTAACACACAGATGATCTGCCATGTGTTTACATGTAGCAGTCTAATTAACGACATCATTTGAATTTAATGACTCTTCAAGGTATTCTAGTTCCCTCCTCTTCTGCAGAAAGGATGGTAAGGAAACCTCTCTGGTGCGCAACTGGACACAATTTATATGAAGAATTCAAAGCTGTAGCCCCACTCTCAGTAATTTCAGGAAACCAACATGCCATGATAGATGCATGAAGATGTTCACTGTAACGTGTCTAATTGTGAAAAAAGGGCACACAAAACGTTGAATAGTATCGAAATGGCTTAATACCTGTGTAAGGTATTATGCTTCTCATAATTACATTTTGAATGATACTTAATGATACAAAGAAATGTTTAAGAAAGGAAAATGTTGGATTAAAACTATATACAGTATTACCCCAATTTTGAAAAAAAATTATATATTTAACACATTTATACATACAAAAAAGGACTAGAACAATTGATGTACACGGAGGAATTACAATTGACTTTTTGTTTTCAAGTGACTTCCCAAATTTCTTATTTCCTACAGAGTAATTTCTTTAGAGGACCAGAGGCTAGGAGAACGAGTATTTGAAATACCCATCACGTGGTAGACATGGAGCTAAGAATTTTACCAATTATATTTGTGGGTGCAAGCGCCACGTTGGGCTCTGTGCTGACAGCTCAGAGCCGGGAACCTGCTTCACACTGCATCTTCCGCTCTCAGCCCCTCCCCCACTCAGGCTCTCTCTGTCTCTTCTCTCAAAAATGAATAAACATTAAAAAAAAAAAAAGAATTTTGCCAATTATCTCACCTCCAGAGCCAGCAGGAGAGGGAGGCGTCTCAGTCCTTGCTCTACAGATGAGGAACTGAGGCTCCATTAGTTAGGCACGGTTTCTCTTTGCCCAGGGGGACCCTGGACTCCGGCCAAGGACAATGCCATGTTTCCTGCTGCCCCACAAGCGTCAGCGGCCATAGCTCCTAGCGGGTGCAGGGGAGGCGCAGGGGGGCGTGCAGTGACAGGACGGGGCTGTGCACAGCTTGCCCGAGAGCAAGGCTTTATTTTACTTTATAAGCACTTCCTACCTTCTTCCAAAAGTGGAAAACCTTGTTTTTCCTGGGCAAGAAACCACCTTTATCGCAAGGCTCCGTTCTGTAGTAGTGGTTTACACGCCTGTGCCCAGCCTCAGAGCCTAGGGTCCCTGCCGTCCTGCTGCTGGGGTTGGCATGTGCGCAGAGCAGGACAGGGCAGAGCCACGCGCCCCCACCCCTTCCTCCAGCTGGCTCCCCCTCCCTGCCCTGGATATGAGAACAAACAGGCTGTGTGCTCTGGCTCCCTGCTCAACCCAAGGGGGTGGGGGGCGGGGAGAGCAGCAAATATCCCAGCTATGTGAACAATCAGGACTATCTGGCAGCACATTTGATCCTTTGTAACTTTATTTTGGCCGAATAGTTGGGGCCTCCAGGCGGCCGGGAGGCCAATCGTCCCAATGTCTACCGTTCAGCTGGGTTCCAGGTATGGCCTTGGAGGGGGGGCCCAACCCGCTGGCTGGCTCTGCTCCAGAGAAGTCTCCAGTGACACTAACTCTAGTAGAGGCAGGGGGAGTTCTTCTCTAGCGTTCCAGTGTTCTTCATGGCTTCCTGTTCCTTCCCAGAGGCAAAGACAGGAAGTCACTTGGACAGGGTCACAGCAAGTTAATGCCATTCAAGATTGTTAACATGCTGCCTGGATCACTCCTTTATCCTCCAATGGTTCCTAACTTAAAAAAATGGAATTTTTATCTGGGACTTTTATCTGGGAAGAGGGATAAGGGGACACGGGAATGGCACACAGCACATACGGTAACACTGGGAGTGACCTGGTCCTTTCCGATTCAGACTGCATCTCTCTCTCTCTGCACTCACGTAAGAGGGTTGCGTGTTCCAGATGTTGCAGAAATACGGACTCCACCAGATAAGTTACTGGAAGACTTCTCAGCACCTTTAAGGAGCTCATGTATGCCATGCAGGGGGTATAATGAAGAGTGGTTTTCTTTTTAAGTTTATTTATTTTCAGAGACAGAGAATGTGAACAGAGGAGGGACAGAGAGAAGGGAGAGAGAATCTCAAGCAGGCTCTGTGCCATTAGCACAGAGCCCCGTGTGGGGCTGGAACCCATGAAGCTGTGAGGCTGTGCCCTGGGCTGAAACAGAATCAGATGTTTGACCGACAGAGCCCTGAAGGGTTCTTACACACGGCCAGCCGTAAAACTAAGGACTCCATGGGCACTAGGGTTCCAATGAACACACTTTGAAAACTCTCGCTCCAGGGTGAGCCCGTGGGGATCCCGTGGCAATAGAAAAGGTCCCAAACAACCTCTGCCCGGCAGCCATCGGTCGCCATCTTTACAGCTGCGGTGTTGGGCCCAACAGAGGCGTCATTCTGCACCCTCCTCTCTGTACTTCAGCAAGACTTTGTGGTATTTCTCCACTTGCTGGTCAAAGCCCCTCGCAGAGAACTGGGCCTGGAACGAGGCCACTGGAGTCAGAAGGTATTTCAGGGCCAAGCCCCTGAACTGCAGAGCCCGCAGGGGGGCAGCCTCGCCGGTGTGAGTCAGGGGGAGATCCCGGCCTGTCGGAGCACTCGGGTTGCCCGTGGCTGCTGACCCACCATGGCCTCCCCTGGGGACCGAGGGTGGCCCCACGCCAATTTCCTCCCCAGTTTCTAGAGACACAAATTCCTCATCTGTGGACCGTAAGTGCCCCGAAACACTCAACGGGGCAGTCAGGACAGTCACCATCTTCTGGGACTCCGAGAGAGGGACTGCCCCCTCCCACTCTTTGCTGCAGGGGTCTGGGAACAATGGTTTCTTGATCGGCAAAGGATGCTGGGAAGCCTGCTCCTCAAGGCGCCCGGAAAGGTGCTCATTCTTGGCCTTCTTTGAGTCCATGTCAGCTTGAGATCGACCCACAGTGTCCTGAAAGGAGTCAAACACGACACCCCGGGCTCGCGGCCTCTTTAGTCTCCTTTCTAACAAGAGCCAGAGCAAGCTTGGTTTTCTTGCGGGTGACTCCATATACTGCTGCACGGAGTCTGGGATCGGGGGCTCTGAGAGCCTGGGGCTCAGGCTGTCCTGAAAGTAGTCCCTACAGGGCTGCTGCCTGACGATGGGCACCACCTGGCAAGGCTTCAGTGCTGCAACGAAGGCCCGGAGCTCCGCGTAGGAGGAGTGGTCCGAGTAAGGGATAATGTGGATGTCGGGGTGGGAGCGGAGGATCTTCCGGCTCGTGGGGAGGATAGCGATGGTAGGGTGGGTCTGGTTCCAGTGCAGCATGGCGGAATGGCAGATCTCCATGTGGTCCACAGCGTGGATGCGGCCTGCCCTCTCCTCCACCGTGAACACGTCTGCCAGGCCCAGCAGCTGCACCAACTCCAGGCGCCGAGGACTCAGTACCACCCAGGTCTGAAACTCCAGGGCCAGCTGCTCCAGCAGTGACTCTTTTCCCAGGCTATAGAGTCCTGAGTGATGTCAGAGGGAAGGGGAAAAGCAACAGATGAAGGAGAAAGAAGATAATGGAGAATCCTAGTCAGTCAACCAAAGGTTTAACTTAAATATACAAAATTAACAGGGCAATCAGGAAGTGTTATCAGGGAGGCGGTTGCTTTTGAGCTGAGCATGGCAGATGGGGGAGGGCTTCACACAGGATCCACACACTCCTTCAGCTCAAAGACAGCATCTACCTACCACGTGTTAGGCACAAACCTCAGTCCTCAAGGAGTGCGACCTACACAAGGACCCAGACACACTATGGTCAAGGACAATGTTAAGAGACACGCACACAGTGTTATGAGGGCACAGGAAAGTATCTACCAGGTGATTACAGGGAAGGTTTCCTGAAAATGGCAACTGAGCTGTCATAAAGGACAAGTTTGCCTGGCAGGCAAGGGGGATGGTTTGGTATTACTGAAGCGCAAACAAGGAACTGTGAGAGTAGAGATGGGTGGAAGACTGCAATTTAAGTAAGGTGGTCAGGGTAGGTTTCACGGAGCAGGGGACATCTACAAAGACCTAAAAGATACGTGAGCCCCCCCCCCCCCCCCCGCCAAACCTAAGATTCACTAGCTTTAGGTGAGAAGAAAAGGAAAGGAAAGCACTCACCAATCTTTACGTGATGCTGTGGGTGCTTTCGAATGAGTTCAATAATCTGGCGGGCAGCTTCTTGTCGGGAAGGAAGCACCCGGGCTGGGTTGCAATTGGTGTTGTCTAGGTATAAGGTATGGATCTGTTTCCCTAGTTTCAGGGCTGGCTCCTTTAGCATGGATGGTGTATACCGAAAGTCACCTGGTGGGAGAATATACCAGGGTGGGGGTGGAGGGGTGGAGGGGGCAGAGAGTCAAAGACAAAAGTATAGAAGATGAGCCCCTCCCACTTTAAAAAAAATGTTTATTTTGAGAGACAGAGATAGAGAGTGGCAGAGGAGGAGCAGAGAGAGAGGAAGATAGAGAAGCCCAAGCAGGCTCCACACTGTCGGCACCGAGCCCGACACAGGGCTTGAACCCACGGACCGTGAGATCACGACCTGAGCCGAAATCAAGAGTTGGACACAACCAGTTGAGCCACCCAGGTGCCCTAAGCCTCTCTCGCTTTCGACAGCTGATGGACATTTGCTTAACAGCCTGTGGAAAAACTATCAGGGAGTGTGGCACTAACTTAGCATAGCTTCTGTTTAGAAATGTCTCCATTCTGCTTCGGATTTATTATTACTTACTAGGTCTCGGCCCATAAAGCGTGGGAAATCAGCTGAGACAGGGTCACTGTGCTCATATGGGATGAAGCTAGGAGGCCTCCAGACTCCTGAATTAAGGCTGCTCAAGAAAAGCAGTCCAGGAAGGTGGGAGAGACCCTTGGAAGGCCCACCTGTGTAAAGGATGGTTCCAAAGTATCCTTCGAAGAGAAACATGACAGAGCCAGGGCAGTGATTGGCATCCAGGAGGGTTACCGTCATGGTCTCCCGCCCAATTTCATCTAGAGGCAGGACATGGCTCTCACCAACCTCCAGGGCTCGGATCCACTTCTTAGATACCTGGGGAAAAAGTTGGTCATTCTACTGAACACAAACTCCCCACCTTGATACTGTCCTGGATTAGGAATCACCCCTTTACCCAAGCCAGGGAAAGCTGACCATATCCTAGAGGACCCTGGAGCAGAAGCTGGAATGGAGACTCTCCCCAAAGCTCCCAGTCTCCCCTCCCACCCTTTCTGCAGTTTACACTGAGTCCAGAAAACACTCTAGGCAGTGGCTCTCAAACATCCCTGATCATAATAATCTCTTGGGGGCACCTGTTACAATTCCAAACGGATTTCCAGGCCCTGCACCAGCCATATCTACTGGAACAGATGGGGGGAATGGGGTGGGGCACTGGAGAATGTGTATAGTCACCCAGCATATTAGATGGATTCTTATGAGACAAGTTTAGGAAACACTGGCCTATCTTATTTTAATATATAGGTACAGTTTCCTTGTCTGGACCCACAGATCTCCCCAACTTACAGCTGAAAGATCGCAGGTCGGCCAGTCAAGAAGCCACGCTCCCTGGGGGCGCCTGGGTGGCTCAGTCGGTTAAGCGTCCGACTTTGGCTCAGGTCATGATCTCACGGTTCCTGGGTTCAAGCCCCGCGTCGGGCTCTGTGCTGACAGCTCGGAGCCTGGAGCCTGTTTCAGATTCTGTGTGTGTGTCTCTCTCTCTCTGACCCTCCCCTGCTCATGCTGTGTCTCTCTCTCAGAAATAAGTAAAAAATAAATAAAACAATAAAAAAGAAGCCACATCCCATTCTGGGCTAAAAGACGTTATTTCTGGGTTCAAACAACTCCCGCACTGGTAAAAATCAGTCGGTCCTCCTGGGCCCTAACCTACGAGTCTGAGGCTGTGACAGATAAGAAATGCCCACCCCAGATGCTCGGCCCACCTCTCCGAGGACTCCCGCCCCCCGTACCTGTAAGTGACGATGCACGAGGTAAGCAGTGATTGGAGAGCAGTAGAGGGGCCGGGCCCAGGTGCTAGACAAACCCACGGTGTGGTCCGAGTGCATGTGGGACAGAAAGAAGAGCCGTGCAGCACCCGCCCGGCGCAGGCTCCAAAAGTCCACCGCGATGGGTGTATGGGGGATCAGGGCTCCGTTCATGGTGGCGGGGCTGGAGGGTCACCAGCGAGGTCTTCATGGGCACAGAGCAGCCGCGCCCTGAAGACAGTACGCTGGGGCAAGAACGAGGACAGAGCCCCTCACGGGAAGCCGGTCCGGTAGAGGAAGGAGTCCCTAGCGTGGGCAGGAAAAGGGGTGGCCGTGCTCCTGCGAGTCCCGGGTGGAATCGCAAACCGCCGGCGACTGTCCGCCAAGCGCCGCTCCTACCCGCGCGCGGGAGCCGCGGCCCAGGCCCGGCACTCAAAGCGCGCGCTGCTAGGCGGAGACAGGCCGAAGCAGCCGATTTCCGACAGCCCGCAGCGCCTCCACCAGACGGAGCCGCGCGGCTGCGCCTGGAGGTGAGAGGCTGGGGGAAGGGCGCCCTAAGGTCGGCGTCTGGGCGACGCTCGGCGCTCGCCGCGAGAAGGGGAGTGGCAGCTGCTGCGCGCGGTCGGCTTGGAGGAGGCGGGACTTCCGCCGGAAGCGCGCCTGGGCCCGTCGCGGGCGGCAACCGCGCCGCGGCGCCTGCTGGGCCGGCACTGTCGACGGAGGGGTCCCGCGGGGCTGTCGGCGGCCGGGCTGGAAGTGGGGCGGAGGGCCTCGAGGTAGCGGGAGAGGGCCCGGGACGGAGCGAGCTGGCCCGCAGGTCCCGGGCAGGGACCACAGAGCCCCGTTTGGGGGCGCGGAGAGGCGTGTTGTGAACGTGCGGCCCCGGGGAAGCCGAGGCTGGGGCGAGATCACGCCCGCCGTGTCTCCGCGGACTGACCTTTGCTCTCCCCAAGACCCCGCGTCAGGGCTGGGAGAAGCCGGCGAGCGGCCCCGGGGTGTGCGGGGAGCGCCCTGCGAGTGCGGAAGATGCCGTACCTCGGCTCTGAGGACGTGGTGAAGGAGCTGAAGAGGGCTCTGGGTAACCCTCACGTGCAGGCGGATAGGGTGCGCTACCGGAACGCCATCCAGCGAGTGATTAGGTACCCCCGCGGCCGCCCCCGCCCCCCTCCCGCCGCCCCGCGGAGCGACAAACCGAGACCCCGACGCTCGTGCGCTTCCTGCCTCCTGGCGTGGCCGTCGCACCCCCCCCCCACACACCGTGGGGCTTCCCTGCCTTCCTTCACGCAGCGGGGCGGTAACGCCCGTGTCGTGAACTGAACCCTGCTGACCCCCAGGGCTATAGAATCTAGGACGGAACCCCCTTATGCCCTGCCGCTTGGCATCCCCACCTGGGTATTTGGTCAGAGACCTGCAGAAGGGTACCTTACACCCTTCCCCTCCCCCCAAACCTGCTCTTCCGCTTGTGTTTGGGTTGATGAATGTCACCCTCCGGCCGGACCGAGGGAGGGAGTCAGTCTTGACGCCCGATTGTCACTTCTCAAGTCACATGGTAGGAATACACAGTTCTAAGTATCCATCCTCTTTATTATTACTTTTTTAATTTTTAAAAAATGGTTATTTTGGAGGCGCCGGGGTGGCTCGGTCGGTTAAGTGTCTGACTTCGGCTCAGGTCATGATCTCACGGTTCGTGGGTTCAAGCCCCGCGTCGGGCTCTGTGCTGGGAACCTGGAGCCTCCTTCAGATTCTGTATCTCCTCTCTCTGCCCTTCCCCTGCTCGCACTGGCTCTCTCTCTCTGACTCCCATGTTCACGCTGTCTCTGTCTCTCTCTCAGAAATAAATACTTTTTAAAAAAGTTATTTTTCAGAGAGGGAGACACAGAATCTGAAGCAGGCACCAGGCTCTGAGCTAGCCCAAAGCGAGGCTCGAACTCACAAACCGTGAGATCAAGACCTGAGCTGAAGCGGAGGCTTCATCCACTGAGCCCCCAGGCCCTCCCCATCCATTCTCTTTTTAAGGATTTTTAGTGTATTTATTTTTTATTGGCCCTGCTGTTCTGGTTTTACTACCAAAGCAATTGCAGCCACTTGCTAGTAGGCCATCTTGCCTCCTCATTTCAGCCAGAATTTTTCTAACGTATGAAACATATTTGAACTCTTGCCTCCAACTGTGGTTCACAAACTTTAGTATGCACAACGGTCCCTTGCAGTGCTTTAAAAAAAAAAAAATCAAAGTCCAGTAACGTTACTTTCAGTAGGGTGGGATGGAACCCGGGAATATGCATTTTGAACAGCCATCCCATCTGATCCCTGTAGGAAACCACAATTTGAGAAACAGTGATCTACACAATATAGTCCAAGCTTCTCATCCTACCTAGTACCCGAAGAAGAACGTGTGCTAACACAACTACTTGCAGGCTCTCAACAGAATGTAGCATTCCTGAGGATGTTTCCATGCCTTGCAGCATCTGTCATCACTTGCCAGGCAAATGCCAGCTCATTCAGGATTACCTCCTCTGTCGGAACCTTTTGTGGTTTCTTGGCAGTATTAGACCTCTCATCCCCACCGTGCCTTGTCTGCTACTTCTGTTTTAATACTTGCCTATCATATTGTAATTAGTGGTGTTTTTATCTTGACCCTTAGTCCACCTTGAGTTGCTAGAGATCTGAGACCATGCCCTTTTCAAGATTGTGACCCCAGAGTGCACCCCTGGAGCGTAGAAGCTGAATGTCACTGGAGCATTCCCAGGGATTCCATAACTGTTGCATGACTAGAAGAATGTTTATTGTAGGCGCATGGCGTGAAGTACTGTGCAGGGTGAGACTAGACGGACCTGGTTGCTTCGCTCGTAGTCTAGCTGGATAACCGGGATGTGTAGGTAAAACACCTCTTGCTCTCGGCCGGGGGTTCTGTAACTTACTCCTTCCTGCTGTGTGTGTCGCTTTCAGGCACGTGACTCAGGGCTTGGACATGTCTGGTGTTTTCATGGAAATGGTGAAGGCCAGTGCCACCGTCGATATTGTTCAGAAGAAGCTGGTCTATCTGTACATGTGCACATATGCCCCCCTGAAACCCGACCTGGCCCTCTTGGCCATCAACACGCTGTGCAAGGACTGTTCGGATCCCAATCCAATGGTGCGGGGGCTGGCATTGCGGAGCATGTGTAGCCTCAGGTGAGTACCTTCTTCTGGGCCTGTTTCTCAGTGGGCGATGTGTTCAGGAGATCATGGGGCCAATTTTTATCTAATTAATTAATTAATTTTTTTAAATTTTTTTTTAAATATTTTTATTTATTTCTAGGAGAGAGAGAGAGAGAGACAGCGCGAGCAGGGGAGGGTCAGAGAGAGAGGGAGTCACAGACTGAAACAGGCTCCAGGCTCTGAGCTGGCAGTCAGCACAGAGCCCAACACGGGGCTCGAACCCACGAACCGCGAGATCATGACCTAAGCGAAAGTCAGACGCTTAACCGACTAAGCCACCCAGGCGCCCCTTAATGTTTATTTTTGAGAGGGAGAGACACAGGGTGTGAGCAGGGGAGGGGCAGAGAGAGAGACACAGAATCTGAAGCAGACTCCACGCTCTGAGCTGTCAGCGCAGAGCCTGATGCGGGGCTCGAACCCACGAACCGTGAGATCATGGCCTGAGCCGAAGTTGGACACTTCACTGACTGGGCCACCCAAGCGCTCCATGGGGCAGGTTTTTAATGCTGATCATTTATTTGAACTTCTTAATTGTGGGGAAAATGCAGTTGTAACCTGAACTCAGGTTTTCAGCCATTGCTTAGGCTTGAAAAGCTATGTCCTCTGTGAAGGGAGATTTCCATCTTCACTCTTGCTGAGATAATTTGTGGTTTAGGTTTAAGATTTCGAAACAGTTACGTGGACATAGTTTTGTTGCCCATGCAGTATTATTCCAAATGAAAAGTCAAGTATGACTTTTTAATAAAGCTTGGCAGTGGTTTTCTCTAATTTTTTTATGATGTGGTAGATGTACCTTCAAACATCAACTGAACCTTCTGTTAAGTGCTTAGGGGCTGAATGATGTCAAAACTAGTATTTTAGGATCTGGCTGACTCCAGGGTGTGTTGCTTAGGATGCCCGGTGTGCAAGAGTATATCCAACAGCCTATTCTCAGTGGTCTGCGAGATAAGGCGTCATATGTCAGGAGAGTGGCAGTCCTTGGTTGCGCCAAGATGCATAATCTTCATGGAGACTCAGAAGTGGGTAAGTTTCGGTGTAATCCATCATGATTCGTATTTCTGTGTGTCTCCATTATGTGTTTGACTTTGTAGAAGGTCACGGGACTTTGGTAGAAAATAGGAATGTGGCTCTACTTCTGTACTTCTTTCTCTTTTTTTCTTTATTTATTTGGAGAGAGAGGGAGGGAGAATGAGTGGGGGGAGAGGCAGAGAGTGAGGGAGAAAGACTCCTAAGTAGGCTTCGTGCTGTTAGTGCAGAGCCCAGTGCAGGACTCAGTCCCACAAACTGTGGGATCATGGTCTAAGCTGAGATCAAGAGTCAGATGCTTAACGGACTGAGCCACCCGGGCACCCCTGTATGTGTCTCTAAGTAGAAAGGCTGGCTTGGTATTTTCTCAAATTAGAGAAGTCTTTTCTTTGGGGCCCAGGTGAGATCCTTTGCAGTAGCTACTTAGAACAGTCTGGCGATGGCAGTTTTGGGCGTTGCATTTTATTACTGCCTTTGTTACTTTTGTCGCAGAGAAATTCGGTTTTGTCTGCCTGGAGCTATTGCCCCGCTCTGTTCCTGTTGACTCTGAAACTGTTCTTTATCTGAGATCTTTGTGCTCTTTTACAGACGGTGCTCTGGTAAACGAATTATACAGTTTGCTGCGTGACCAGGATCCAATTGTGGTTGTGAACTGCCTGAGGTCCCTAGAGGAAATTCTGAAACAGGAAGGAGGTGTTGTCATCAACAAGCCCATCGCCCACCATCTCTTAAATAGGTTGGGATGCCTCAGTTTTCTGTTGGTTATGATGAGATCTGCATCCTCAAAGTGGGATTTCGATACGTTGGGTGAGGGGACGTCTTGAACAACTTATATAGACTAGTAAAATTAACCGTAGCCGTTAATTTCTTCATGTTTCATTGAGAGAATTTTATTTGTCTTAGTTTCCTTTGGTCCTGTAGAGAGATGGCAGAAATATCCTGTGGAAAGAGGTTCTGTCCCCTCTACAATCATTATGTCCCCCAAACAAAGCCATTTGTGTCATCTTAAACCGGATCCAAGTATAGCAATCACTGTCTTTGGCCTTCGATGAGTGAGAATGTGTACAGTAAACCCCTCTTGGAGTGTAAAGCCTGTTTTGTGTAAACTTTAGTATGTAGAAGGAATAGTTCTGTTATGACACAGCCTATTTTCAAGAATACTCTCCTTGTTATGATGGACAGGTGACGTGGCCGTTGCAGGGAGAGAGTCCTCATTTGGTTGCAAAAATACTGCTTTTCTCTTTTGGACAGAATGCCCAAACTGGACCAGTGGGGCCAGGCTGAAGTGTTGAACTTTCTGCT